ATGACGGGATGAACCTTCATAACTCGTTCAGAGAATCGTTTCTGACAATTTGAAGTAAGTTCGTGTGTTCAGCCGTTCAAGAACGCACACTAATGGGGTGGCAAGTGCTCATTGATATGACGCGGGCTGAGTGTTTGACCTTTCCTGGTGAGAAATACTGTTCTTCCGCCACGCAAACACTCATTTAGTCAACATTCACAGAGTAAGGAAAATGCAAAAAAAGCGCGGGCATCAGAGACTGAAACCTTGATCTCGAACTTATGAGTAGGACCTTACACTTCGATCGCAGCACCATCGGAGAATGCCATACAGGTCAGGCAGTTGATCGGCAGCCTGCCAGGAGGGATTTCGAGGTCGTACTTTAAACCGCCATTTGACACATACATGCTTACCCTCATGACTATGGGCTAGATCATAAGATACGCCAGTTCGTTGAGACGATATTATCAACGTTGGATGTGACTATGCCCTCCGTAAATTATCCCGTACCTTCAGCTCCAGTAGGTCTGCAGCAGTCCGGAAGGCGGACATCGTAATGCAGCGTCCGAAGACTCGCACTAAGATGATATATGCAGCCTAGTAGTTCGCATACCGATGACTGGGGTGTAAGTGAGGGTGGGGTTTGGCGCGCGCCGCCATCGGATTATCGTTGCTTTACGCACAGTTGTTGAAGACTGGTAAGGGGCAAGTGTAGGTGGACCTAACGACTCAAGGGATGCGAACGACATGATGCAGTCTCGTCGTTTGCCGCATGACAAAGAAAAGAAACGGGTTGGCGCCATGCCAAACTCATCCCGGATGACACGCCCATCATCTGCAGCTCTGCAGTCTTTCAAGACTGTACATTTCATTTCAAATAGGTACTTCTAACTCCTTGGCACAAGTGGTGATTTTGAAGAGTGCCAGCTCAGCGTGACCAATGCGGTAATGTTATAACACTTTTAACATGAACAAGCTCAAAAATACCCCTGATAAATTGTGCGACGATTAAATTTTGAATTATTTGCTGTTCACCCATCCTAACCAATAATCACTTGGTCATCTCAAAATGCCTCGTTCTACTGGCAGATACCTATCATCCAAGACATTCAAATTCAGAAAACAAACTTACCAATGCTGAATCCCATGAAGAAATTTGGGAAAATGAGCCCTTTGATGGATGTAGCCGATGGAATAGTCAGTAGGCAGAATCCTATTACGATAAGTCCAATGAACGCTGACAGCCACCTGAACTACAATTTCTACTAGTTGGCAAGTCAATTTACGCCGAAGTTCGGGCTCCGAAAGTTATCACGAGAATGCTGAGTGTGCGAACATCCAGGCAGGATCCGAACACCTCACGCTTTCCGGCGATTGGGCTGACCATTAGGCTACCAGGACGGCTCTTTTTCTCACGTCAATGGCTTTAGTGCTATAGCCTCAGCTTCAAAAGAAGCCATTCAGCTCAGAGTGTGCGAGCGGCTGTGGATGCCTAATGAATTACATAATTGCGCAAAAGCTTGAACTGCGGGTTCAAGTCCCGCCTGGGGTCAAGATCCGTGCCCATAGCTCTTGTGAAAAGTTGTATTATGTTCAGTTTCGTCTAAATATGGAGCACTACTAGGTCCCACTCACCTTCCAATTTTATGAGCAAGAGGACCGAAAATGTTCGTTCCAACCAGGTATGAGATAGAAGCAGGAAGGAAGGCTGCTCCTCTTTCAAATGATCCTGCCTGCCATGTTTCCATCATCCATAGCGGCAAAGATGGTTCTAACATTGCTATACCGAGATTACCGATTGTGATAGCACCTAAATTGTAACACATCAAGTAGAGCAAGCCATATCGATTGATCACTGCATACATGAACATTCCAAGGCCGAGGTAGTGTAGTGGCAAGTGTCCAGCCAATCATGCGCGCGTACGGGGACAATTCCCAGATCAGATCCCGTCCAAGTCAACCAAGCATCTTAACTTTCGGGTACGATAAATTGGCTAGGGAATCTTCTGAGAGCCTTCATACTTCTTCATTATTCTGGCCCACGCAACACATTGCATAGCCGTAGCGCAATCAATAAGCCACTACGATTCTGAGTGGAAGTAGAATGCGTGTCGCATCCCGAAAAAGGGACTTGATCAACGGCGAAACCTTCATCCTTTAT